TAACTGGGTTTCTATCCAGAATGAAATCAGTCTGAAGTCAAGTAGACATCAAAATCAGCAAGCATTTAAACTGTACAGTGAATATTACAGTAGGATACAACAGAGATATGTCTCAACCCAACCTGTGCTTCACCCAGAGTAGCCTGGATGAATCAAAGTTGAATATATTGATAAGAAGACGCAGTGTATACCTCCGTTGGGGAAATCTGGGGTAATGTGCATCATACCACTGTGAACGGTTAAAAACCTCCCAACAAGTGTTCCAGTCTTTTTGAAGTAACAACAGTTTGGATGCAATTCACGTGTGAACTATGGAAAATACTCGATGAGTTCCTGATGATGTGCAACAGAGCATTATTTATGGAGTTGGATGCTTTTAAGTCTGCTTTTTGCTTATGCATGCTACATTTTCGAGCCTCTCACGGTGTTATTTCTGCTGCAATCGGCACAAGTCATACTGTTTGTTTTTGTTGTCGTCTTTCAAAATTACTTTGTTTGATAATAATAGCAGTATTTATTCCTGAAAATACAGGCAGACAACATTTTTACAGATATGAATAAGTTTTTATATAAATTACATGTATCTTCATGGAAGGCGATCTCACGAGGAAGACTAATACTTCAGTGTAAGTGATTGGTTCAGTCACCTGTATGAAAGCCTTTGTTGCTCTATCATTGATTGCTCTTTTTCTCCGAACGAATACGTTAGTGTTAGCTCTGTAGACATACAGCAACCACTCAATGAAGACTGAAGTTATGAATCAAATTTTCACCGGTTTGGAATCGATGTTATTTACACGGTGAATGAGGGCTCCCCTTTGGTATACTACTCATGCTCTGTTATCCTTCAAGTTACTTTTTCACTCAGATTCTGAAGCATAAGGAATTTTCCAGGTCAGAAATTCCAACGAAACTGACGTTGTTAGTGTTGCCAAAAATTCTAACATGTGTTGAATGGCTCAGTACCGACTGTCATCTTAACCCGGCCGCACACTGGAAGTTCTTCAAGAGGGCAACCATCCGAGTTTTAAATCAATCCATTGCAGTTTACAACACTTTTGGAAAACAAATGAGACCGGATTTACGGCTCAAACCTAGCGCTCTCAAACTTATTATCAGCAAGCATGTGGCTCGAAACCACTAGTGTGCTCACTGTCCAGTGAATTCTACAGAATCATGTCAGCGATAAAGGGTATCATCTGAAATGCAGCTATTGGGCAGGATGAGGTCGGTTATAATTATGAAAGAGTTCCCTCTGAAACGAATTCCGTGACTGCGCTGTTGCCTGAAGATGAAGGTAGTGCGTTGGAAAACGGAGCGGTCATGCACCCATTTGGAGCCATGTTCTCTCCTTTTGTGCTAATTTCGCCAGCAAGCAGCGCAACCAGACAGACACCATAGCACACTTGACCTCCTTTTCGCTAATGGATCATTTTCTTTTGCTCTTAAAGTCGGCAGAGAATCCCCGGACAACAACCACAGGGTAGTACTTGGTAACTTCCTACTGACTACTAGAACTATGTCAGCTCCTAAATCAAAACAGCGACAAATAGAAGATATAAAGTGCTGTCTGGGAGGAGATGCAGTACATGTTGCGATGCTTGGACCGGGATTCTTATTTCATCAGTAGCTCAACCCATGAACTAAGTGACATCTACAGTTTCATGAATGTGATTCACGATCATATTGCTCCGGCGGTATCAGTAGTAATCAGAAAGCCCAAAGTGAATTGCACCCAAGACAATGTACGCATCAGCATGAGCAGACACGCCAGAAATTCCTATCGATCTGATGACTTTTCAACCCCTGTCTCATTAAAAGTTACTCCTGAGAACTTCAAATCAAAAAGGTCACTAAAAGCAGTCAATCGAGAAACTAGCCGCAGCGCGCAGACAGTCAATGTTCAGTCATCAGTGAGAATTCTAAAATCCCGTGCAAACGTATCCAGAGTAATTCCTGGTAGTCTGACCATTGATGGGGACATTCTTTACGATGACCCAAGTAGGATCCGTGAGCTGTTTGGTAATCATTATGCAAGCTGCTTCACATATGAAGGTAGTTTACCAGAAATACAAATGTCCATCCCACCACACTATTCACTAAGTAGTATTTCCTTTACACAAAAAAGATGGCTGATGCAGTTGTTTCACTAAAGATATCATATACTGCAGGAACCGATGGGATCCCATCTGTTCTCCTGGAGAGGGTGGTGAAGACATACCACTGATCCTTACGAAGCTATCCTCAATATCCCATACTGGGCCATGCTACACTGACCGCTGAAAGCTGTCATGCGCATCTCCCACGTTTAAATCTGGCCCGACGTCAAATATTCAAAACTATCGTCCCATAAATATTACATCTGTAGTCTCTCATACCATGGAGAAGGTGGTTGTGCAAGAAATTACCGATTATATGGTCGCGCACCGGCTACTTTCCCCTACGCAGCATGGTTTCTTAACACGTCGTTCATGCAGTACTCGCTTGCTGGATTATTTTGGGGAAGCCACCTGCAAAGGAGATGAGGGTCTTTTCGCAACTGCTCTATTTTTTGACTTCAAAAAGCATTTGGTTAATTCTGAAGCTTGAATCATTTGGAATTAGTGACCCCCTATTATCGTGGATAAGCTCATTCCTCAGACAGCGTACTCAGATAATAAAGTCCAGTCACACCTATTCTTCCCCAAAGCCTATTTTGAGTGGTATCATTCAAGGGATTGCGTTGGGGATCTTACTCTTCCTCCTTTACATAAATGTTTCTAACGTAGTAAAATATGGTAAGACCTACGCGTTTTCTGATGACAGTCATCACTAAATGGGGGTTTTAATAGAACCCAGGAAGACCTGACGTATTTCTTTGCTTGGAGTGAGATATGGCAACTTCCACGCAACTCTAGTAAATACAGAATTCTCTGTCTCAATAATTTCCACCCAAACGTAGCATTACACCTTGGCGATTCTGTGCTGCAATCATATAACTCTGTATGTGATTTAGGTACTAGGCATTCCCGGAACTTAACGTTTACGGATAATGCTCAGTCCCTTGTATCCAAATATAGGCGCCCAGTCGGCCTTTTGCTTAAACGCGTAAATACCACTGAGGCTAGACCGCTTTTATTCGAAGTAATGATCTACCCAGTACTTAAATATGGAACAATCATCTTCAGCAATATGTATGAACTGATAGGATAGCCATTGAGAATATTCAGAGGAAGTTTGCCTGCTATGTACTAGGCCGTCATGAAGAACTTGATTATGAAGAAGGCATAAGAAGCTGAAGATTGACCCATTTTGGCTAAGACACCCTAAGCTCAACCTTAACCTATTTTTCCTCCTTTTGCGTGAGATTACTCATGCCTGTTACGCGCCTACTTTTAACCTATGCCCTCATACAGTCTGCGCAATAGTGAGTGCACTGTACCTGTCAAAAAATACCACCTTAAACTTAGGTCACGATTCTTTATGATGCAATACAGCAAGTTGTGGAATAAGCTCCCATATAGTATTGCACACGCATGTCCCCATTTCAGTTCAAACGTCTACACAACGAATTCCTTCAGTTCACGGATATCAACAAGTTTCTCAACATTCATAACCAACAGCAAGCTTGCTAGCTAACTAATTGATTAACTGTCTCTGTCCTTTCGGGTTTCTTTGAACTGGGTGCTTGATCGCGTTGACGACGACTGCCACATTAATAGATTAAAATTAGTCTGGATAAGACCACTTCCCACCCACTGGTTTTCCTCACGTCTACGGGACCATTCATTCGAAGTTCGAGTAGGTTTCCTGTGTCTAAAGGAACAGAATGTCCTAGTGATGTTCCAAAAGGATCGGTACCAGGGCCTGTTTTTTTCTAATACATAAAAACTGCCTATCTCAGTGGGGGTCTTCCTTTTGACGATGGTGTGAAACTACAGAGCAACGAAAATTGAGGAAGACAGCGTTTCTCTACAGGAGGATTTAACTCAGCTTCAACGAGGCTATCAGTAATAGGCTGTCGGTCAATCCGAAAAATGCAAGGTGTTGCACGCAAAACACAACGCTTTCATGTATATAACCCCAATGGTAAGGATCCTGAAGCTTTGCTGAAGGAGAAGGATTTGGGTGTTTTCGTCCCACAAGACCTAAAATCCTGCGCTAACCGTGACAGAAACTCACTTCGCAAGAACTTAGCGTTAGTACCTCCTAGACAGATCTTTGGACACTTCGGTCATAGGTGTTTTCACCAAATTTTCAACAGCTTCATATGGCCACATCTGGAGTTCGGGACTATCATCTTCCCCTCCTTTTCTGAAAGACACATTAATCTTGGAACTCATCTAGATGCGCTAGACCAAATCTTTTTCCAGGAATTATGTCTAAAACATACGGAGAACGGCCGGCCAAACTGGATCTGTATCTCGTAGAATGTAAAAGCTAAAAGGAGACTTGTAATGACTCACAACACCTTGAGCATCCCTGGACATCCACTCGGTCACTTATTGAATCTTAGGTGTAGCACTAATCTTTGAAGACACGCAGAAACTAAGCCTGGAACATAGCAAGTCAGACACCGAACACAGCTTCCATTCCCTGAGAGTTGTTACACCCTGAAGTGCTCTTCTTGCAGACGTGATCCAGGTTACTTCATCCAAATCCTTTAATGTCTGACCGGCTACTTATCTGACATGTGGTTGGGATTTGGCAACAACTAATTAGGTTTTCACATTTTAACCGCCACGTTTTGTCTTCCTTTTACTTGTACACAAGTTAAAAACCATAAGAAGCAGTGTTTCATAGATTCTAGACGTGTAAGCTAGTAAAGTAAAAACTTTTCCTTCAACTTTTTGAACTGACCATTCGGCACATAAAGCGTTTTTCCTTAAGGCAGATGTAGAACTCGAGGTGCCACTGTTCGCTATTTCTACAACACGAAGTTCGAAAGTGTAGAGACCGTAACCTTGAGTTGACCAAAGACTCATTTTATCAACTTACGTTGGCATTTTGAGAAGCGGGGTTTTTAATATTCGTGTTGTGGGCGGAAAGTAGTTTTGGGAGGAGTTCCTGTAATTTATCACCGCTTCTGTAGAAATGAACCAAGAAAGATTAGCTAATTCAAAGAAAATAAATCCGTGTCTATCTGGTCTGACACTCAATTTGTCTGAAGTATCGTTACCAGTTGGACCAACCCTTGTCCCACAATTTAGTTCTCCCAACAAAGTCGAAGAATTATCCTCTTTCGTTGGAGAAAATGCAAGCCAACCCAGAGGATCTATTTCAGAGCCTGGGCGGAGGTTCTCTGGCACTGATTCGGCTTCTGCAGACAATGCTCATATGGTAGGAATGCACTCCCTCCACTTTCTTCCGTAAGTTTGTTTGGTGAGATCTGAATGTTTAATTGATACACTTTCATGTTGTAATTTGTGTGTCGTGCACTTATTTATCTGGTAATTCATAAATAGGCTCCTTGTTGGTCTAGATCTTACAGAAGTTCTACCAGGTAAAGTGCCGATGCATTTAGGGAACACTTCATTTGAAATAACTTGAGGGTTTATTAAGATTCCAACATCAATAGTGTGAGTAAGGGTAACACTTAGTTTTCAAGCCCGTGTGTCTAGGTTTTTTGAGGTCCGGTCCATTTTGTTTCAGTTTTAAGTTATAAGGATAGTAGGCCAGTTGGCCTGTGATAATCCTTGCAGAAGATATCTCTGTGAAGATCCAGTTTCTCCTTGAACGCGTTGACAGAAGGTGCCGGTACTACTTGCTGAGGTAAGGAGTTCCAATTGTTGACAACACGATGGGAGAAACGCAGATTCACGCTAAGTTGGTTGGATCGCCGTTTAGAATTTTCTTGTGATGCCTCGGAGATAGTCAGTCCTAGCAAGGGAGAAAAGATAGAACATATCACTGCTGAAGTCACTATTAAGAATACGAAGTGCCAGTATGAGATCCCTTCTTCTACGGTGACAGTGGGAATAAGTTTAGCTGATCTAGTCCTTCCTCATGGGGCAGATTCGAAAGGCCTGCCACAAGCTTAGTACCTACCCTTTGAACACGCTCGAGTGCGTCAGCATCCCTTTTTTAGGTATGGGCTGGCCGCCTGAATGCAGTATTCCAAGTAAGGTCTAAAGTGAGTAGAGTAGACTATTCTAAACATGTCCTGACCAAAACATTTGAAAGCTCTGCGGAAGGACCATAATATACGGAAGCCCTTTACTATAGCTGCATTACAACTTGTCGAGGTTTTCAAATCATGACTAATGATAACACCAAGGTCTTTAAGTTCAAGGACTGGAAGTAGTGGTGTACCACCAACGGAATACTGGAAACAATTGCTATGACCAATGTGCATTATTGCACTTTTGTTAGAATTGATTTCCAGACACCAGCGTTTGGACCAACCTACTAGTTCATCTAAATCCGCTTGAAGTGAATACCTATCTGCATCACTGCGTATGGCTCTCCAAATCTTTACATCATTAGCAAATAACAGTACCGAAGAGTTGAGCATATTTGGCAATTCGTTGATATATAACAAGAAAAGTAGTGGACCTAGGATTGTTCCTTGAGGAACTCCACTCATCACAGGTCTCCACCCGGATAGTGACCCATTTACCCTTACTCTTTGCCTTCTATCGTATAAAGGTCCTTAATCCAAGCTTGCAATGAAGCACCAAACCCGAAGGAGGAGAGCTTTCCCAGTAATTTCACATGCTACACTTTGTCGAATGCCTTACTGAAGTCTATAAACACGGCATCTGTTGGCAGCTTGCAATCACGGGCTGCAACCTATTCCTCTCTTGCGATAAGGAGGTTAGACAGGGGTGCCCAGTACGAAAACCATGTTGCTGTGGTGCCAAAAGATTGCTTGATTCCACATGTTCAAGTACCCCGTCACGATTATTTTTTCTAAAATCTTAACAACTATGCTAGTTAGACTCACAGGGCGATAGTTAGACACCAAATGGCGACTACCGGTCTTAAAGACTGGGCTGATTATGGCATCTTTCCAGTCTCTAGGGTGGTGAGTCTGAGTTGAAAAAGATCCGTGACTGGCTCAGCAATGATAGAAGTCTGGGATGTAACTCATCGGGACCTGGGGATTTTCCAGGTTTAAGGTTAATGAGCAACTGTAAGACTCTTTCCTTTGTTGTGAACACTATCTATTAGTGGAACAGTGCTGACACCACTACTTAGCACTTCATCGTCATCATCTACAGAGAAGACTTCACTAAAGTAATCAGAGAGACATTCAGCTTTGGACAGATTAGATTCCACCAGACTATCGGACTTCTCATCCGTCGCCAGAGAGGGATTCCGCCTTTTCTTTTAGTCCTTTCTGACGAATGCGAACAGTCTTTTAGGACAATTTTGGCAATCCCTCACAAGCTGCTTCTCGTAGGACATTCGAGACCGTGTAATCAAGTTTGCAGAGATTACGGACTTTACAGTACCAGTCTTAAATGTTTCCAGTCTAGTTTCTAGAAACAAGTCCCATAAACGTTTCCTCCGCCTTAATAGTCTCTTAAGTCTTTATTAAACCACGGAGGGAGATGTGAGGATCGTCGTGGAGTCGAACATGGAATAAATGGCGTCGTTACCTCTTCAAATAGAGTTCTAAACCTATTCCATGCATTCTCAATTGATGAGTCCTTGTCGACGTCCAATCCTTGCTGATTGCAATCCCTTATACTTGAAATGTCCGTACGCCATACATTAGGTCTAGGGGAGCAGTATCGTAATCAACTCACTAGTCCGAAAACCAAAGTTAGTACTATGGTAGCTGCTGGCTAATGGATTGAAGTTCATTGATCCAGAATGTCTTCACATTGATGGGTTAAAACTAAATCTAATAACGATGGCTTGTGTTCAAAATCGTAACGTGTTGCACATGTTACGTTTTGAACTAAAGCGGGTTCTAAGACCGTCAAAGTAATCATTTTCGAAGGAACCACCTGGTGGTGAGACTTTTAGCTCCGTCCAGTTTATGTGTGGAGCATTCAGATCCCCAACATTAGGCATCTGTTACTTTTACTCCAGTTACGTGTATGGGTTAGCACGAAGTCATTTGCAAGGCAGGATGGACTACGTAAATGACCCCGATAGTACAGAAACCATGCTTTGACTTCAGCTCGCAACTGGCCACTTCACAGGTCCCTCATTCATGTGCTTCAGAAGTGACTAATCGTACGTGGACGTCATCCCAACATAGTAGTATGCCGTCACCTTTGCGACCCACAACTCTATCTGCCCTTATCAGTAGTACCCTGAGAGAAGTGGCGTAAAATTTAGATCATTGATTAACCATTTTCAGTAAGGGCTACTACGTCAGGACCTGGCTCGCAGATTAGAGTCTCAACGTCTGTCATTTTGCTTCTACTACTGCGAATGCTTCCAAGGCCTGGCAATCTGAAAAACCACTATTTTAAGATCATTTCCTCCACTAGCCCGTGGAGCCTTAAGTTCAGCAGCAGCTTCCCTTCTTTTCATACGGTCCTCGAAGGGCCAGTCAGGAGGGATGCGGATATCCGAATTTCGTAGTTTGAATGCCTTACTCAAGAGCACATCCACTTCATCCTTGTTGCCCAAAACAAACTTTAAAATTCTCTTCTCATCAGGTTTTCTGTTCATTTTCTTATCTAGCCTGACTACTTTGGAGATGTGTACCCCTTCAGACTTTTCAGGTGGAGTACGTCTGATGGCCGACTCTACTGGTTGCAGGTCATGGCCATGATGTATTGAGGCACCTTTGTATGATGACTCCTTAACATTCCAGAGGATTAAACTGGGCGCTGGAGTGGAATCCTTGAGTCGTGTGTTGACTGCCTTTGAAACCTTCTCAACAGGTTTCATAAGCTTAGTATCTTCCACGACAAACTTTGGCAGTCTCTTTGGATGCTTCCTTGGAGAAATCCATGTAGATTCGTTGGTCACTTTTACAGAGTCAGCGCTATTACCAGAGATGCAGGCTTTCGGTGGATCCTCAGGCATTATGGTTGGTGTACCATTTGCCCTTGGCTTTTTCTTGCGTCGAGTGTGCTTCGAAACTGGTGTAATTTCACCAACTGGATCACCAGCATCCACTAGTCCACTGAGAGGTCCTGTGTCAGATATATTAACGATTACACTTGCAGCGTCATCATCTGACAGCTATCATTTCCACATAGCTGTTTTTTGACAAGTAAATTTTCAACAGCTTCCTGGATGAGGGTTGGCAATGGCTTGCAGCAGAAATCACATAACCAGGAGAAGCTGGTTTGCTGCAACGCTTGTACACGGTTGGTGTCAATCCTGTACAAACTTTGTGGAACCAACATCCACATGCATCACATTGCATACCTTCATCCACTGGAAATTTACAGCTGGGACGACCGCAAACATGATTATCGCTGACCATGTTATTCACTCGTGTCGTGTACTAACTAAAGTACTCGGTCAAATTCCGACAAGGGACTTAAGTTGTGACAACACAAAGACCAACCTTAAGCCTCAAAAATTGATTAAACTTCAAACACTGACTCAAGTACTTCAAGTCAAGGTTTATATGAAAGTTCTTAATGTGAACTACACAATAAAAGCAAAAATGTCAAAAGTGTAGAAAAATTCACTTCCTGTTTTCAAAGATCGTGCACCTTCGGTAGGTGCATAAATCTTTTCAATTTACCTTCTTTTAGTTTTTGAGATAGTGATTGTCTCTCTGAAGGTTTTATTTTGCAAATTATAGGCTGATTTGCTTGAGTGAGTGATGGTGCTGATGATAGGATCATTTAACTTTTTGCAATTCCTGCCTTTATGGGCACCCATAAGTATTGGGCGTTATTCGAACAGTGCGAAAGGTGGCTTGAGTAGGTAATAAGAGAAAAAGCGTGAAAAGTGTTGCTAGTAGTAATACGGGGAAGGTATGATTCATAGTGTAGATTTTAGTTCTGGTTTTCAGGTATAGATGAGTACACGTTCAGTTGCTACCGGCGTGTTGGTATTGACCGTATATACTCACCTACTTATCGAACATTCGTTCGAAATAGTCAGCTAAGGTTCCTGTGGCTAGTCTTTTTGTCAGAGCGTTGCATAACCCACACACTCAGTTAGAGAAGTTAATTCTAACTCTCATCTTAGCTATCTAGCGAGGTATATGAGTGGGGTTCCTACGGGACTATCGGTCTTGGACCGATAATGTTGTTCGGCTAGAATGGTTTACTTGATGGATACTCTTATAGACTGTTATTTGGTCGCCTCTTTTTCTTCGATAACTTACGGTAAACAAGTTGAGTTGTGTATATGCTATGGTGTTTGTTAGTCCGACAGCTGATCTTGTCCCTGTCTGCATCATCTCGAGTGTTTGCGCTTCCTTGGTTCAGACGGGGCA